CTCAGCTTACCACAATTTCTACTGCCCTGGGCTCAGCCTTTACATGCCCTTGCAGCTGTTACACTAACCCAAAAGGCAAAGCCCCCACCCCTAGAAGCCAAATACCTGAATGAGCAAGTTGACTGTTCGGAACACATAAAAAGCAGTATTGAAATCAGAAACCACCCTCTTACCCTTTGATGAGGCCTCTGTGTGTCCAGCTTGATGAATGCTGATGCAGCAGTACAACAAAAAATATACAAAAAAAAAAGCTTATGCTGCTTCTGAGGTGTGTTACCTGCTTGCCCAGTAGATACACGAAGGGATAAGTAACATTACATAGCTGAACTGCATCTGTGAACCCAATTCCTGTGAAATAAAACAGGGGAAAAGAGTTTTGTTTTCAATGGACACAAATATGTGGGGTAGTTTTTTTAGGAATTTTAATATGGAAAAAATGAGGCACTCTGATGCTTTGGGAGAAATAGGGTTCTCTGCATCCCAATATTTATGTCAATACTCAACTAGCCCCTGTGTTTATGCCAGTGTTTGGAGACAGGAGGCTTGTCTGAAAGTGACAGCAAAGAAGGAAATGAACCCACAACGGCAGAGAATATAAAATCATTTTTCCACCCCACAAGTGAGTTGTTGTACTGGCAACAACTGCTTTATACTCCCTGTGCATACTCCATGAGAATTGTTTTTATAGAGACATTACTTCTCTAAACAGATAAAACACCAACTTACTAGAATGTCAGTTTAGAATACTAGAAGTCTAGAGGAATTACCAGCAAGTCTTACTATATTCTGCATAAATAATCCAGGTTGATTTGTGAACTTGCACCATAGCATCTGCATTTCTAATGCTCGAAGGGAAAGGCTCACTACCGAGTTACGATAATGCTGCTGAGCTGTAGTTGCCAGGAGCAGCACACAACAGAAATGAAGCATCACTAACCTGGACTGGCCCTGGGATGCTCAAACAGCTTTCGCACAGACAGCAGTAGAATTTCTAGCTGAGAGCACATCAGGCACAGCAGGGGGGAGAGGGCAGGAGGATGGCTAATGCCACCACTACCCTTGTGTGACACTAATACAGTGCAAATCTTACCAGACTAGGGAAAAAATAACCCAGCTCAAGAGTTCCAGTTGGGTTAGCAAGTTGCACTGGTTAAGTGATGGCTGTACGAGTGGCAGAACTGACACAGGAAAAGAGGCAGGGCTGTGGGCGCAGGGTGAGGTCTACGCTCTTCTCCATGTCACACCAGTACTTTCGCTCTTCTGTGGGGCTGAAAGATCCTGGCTCCCAGTGTGCATCCTGTCCACAGCAGAGAAAGGAAGCCTCTAGATTAAAGGAAATCACTCTCCCTCTTTTAAAGGGAAAAGGAATCTTAGAACTTGTTAGGACTAGCTTAGGAAAAGTAAATTATAAATAGTCAAGCTTTCAGAAGGTGGCAGAAGGGTTGGGGTTTTTTGGTTTGGTTGGTTCTTGTTTGTCTGTTCAAAGCGGGAGTCCTATAAAATTAGGGAGTTAAATTGCAGTATACATGAGATATAAGCAACATTTTAAGCCTGTTAAGGTATCTGAAACAGTTCAGAAGTCAGTAGCAGCTAGGCTTTGATATTCTAGCAGTTACTGGTTTCCACAAAATTAATCAAAATCACCTCCATTTGTATGAGAATGTTTTATTAAAAATACGTATCTTGTTTCACATAAAAAGAACCAACACTGTAATTAAACACAACTTAAGAAGTTGGACAGGAATTCCTTGAAAAAAATACAGGTTCCTGTAATCCCAGAGCACCCAACCTCTGACTGCATGAGCCACAAATAAACCTCTTCCTGTGTTCAAGGCTCAGAGTGGCCTGTCGTGTACACAGCAAAGTGCCCAGGAAAGAGCAGCTGGTCAGTGGCAGGGCTGCTAACCACTTAGCAGCTGGTCCCTGGTGCAGACACATGCAGGAGATACGAGTTCTGTTCCCCAGATCCCAGGAGGCCTGTCACTCCCAAGCCCTGCCACTGGGCACAATGGTAACCTTAGCAAGAGAAATGCTGAAGTGGCACTTGGCTCAAGTGTCACAGGTTGACCACCTCTTTCTGTAAAAGCGGAGAAATAAAGCACAGCACTTCCAGTTAATTTCGCTTGGGATCCAGCAGAAACTCACATTATCAGCACTGTTCAAAGAAACCCAGTCGTGCTCTGATGATACAATGGGATACAACAGTCTTTTTGATAAATATGACCTTAACTAAAAACTATGCTGGAATCCACTAACTTTTGGATCCCCACTTTCCGTAACTTGGGTCTATCCCAGACTCCTGGAAAGACAATTTTCAAAGCAACAAGTTATCAGCTGAAGCAGCAGCAAATACTGATTGAAAGTTTAGTGCATAAAAATCAAAGAATACAAAAGAGCTGTCAGAGACATCTGCTATTTAAAGTGTACAGAACAAAACACTGGCTGCATCTACTCTCTTGTAGAAAACATCAGTTTGCCAGCTGCCTTTCTTGCTCCGGAGATACTGAAGATTCAGCTCCTTTTAAAATTACTGAGAGATGTATCCCTCATCCTTCCAAAATGATCAAAATGCTTTGTAAATTCAAAAAACATACCAGGCACTGACTGTAAACTAACATTCAGCGACCAACTCATAATGTAAGCAAGGCACAACGAAGAGACACCAGAGCAATGGGGAAGCAAGCGGACATGAAGTCACAAGTCAGCCGTTCCTTTGCTTTGACCTGACAAAGCATCGAAGGATATGGGCAGCTGAAACAGCAACAGTATCTGAGGTTGGACAACCAGAGTAACTGTAAAGCAAAGTTCAGTTTTGAAGAAACAACTGGCTTGCATGTCATTATGCGTTTTCTAATCCCATACAAGTCATGATTTGACTAAAAGAAAGAAAAAAGATACTTCATCTAACATCATGACTCATAAACCTAAAAGGGTATTAAATTCATGTAACCTTAGAGGCCTGTGTCCTCGAGTGCTCTTTATCATCTACAGTGTTAATTCCTTAGACTGCAATTTAATCAAGCACTCAGTCCAAAAGGCCTGTCACTTTCCTGACTATGCTGGGGATTTATGACAGGGATCAGCTTCCTCCCTCCCACTGAAGCCCCAGCTCCACACAATGATTCCTCTTAATACACTGTTATTGCACAGATTGTAACAGAACAAGTTTTTTGCCCAGCATAGCATTTGTTCCCATTTCTAACGCATGGAAAAGGAAATGAACCAACTTTCAGGGCCTTGGGTGAGTTTACAGAACTGGAATTTAAGAATTCTGTGTTTGGTTGTTTTTTTCTTTTTTTGTTGTTGTTTGGTTGGTTTTTTTAGCAATGCAAATTAGTTCTGAGATTAATGAAACACAAATATCTGCTAAGGTCCAGAATGCCACCAATCAAAATAATTTTCCTTACTGGAATGACATCTTCAACACAAGATCTTAATTCGCCAGAATCTGAGCGAATCAAATACTTGCCTTAATTATAACACTCTTCAACTCACTGTCATAAAACTTCCACGTAATTTCTGAAAAGCTTTGATCCTCAGGGCTGAATTCCTCTGCATTTTAGAAGGAAAAAAATATGACTCAAAGACATCCCAGACTGGGAATTCATAATCTTTCCTCAACCTTACAGGGCAAGGTGAAGCTCACAAGTTACTCAAAACCTCATCTTACAGCAAATACGAATGGGAAACTTTCTCCAGTTGTGAGGTGGCAGTACAGGAAATAACTGGATTTTAAAATAGCTAAACTTGAAAGGTGTCAAAGAACAAGGCTGAAAAGGTTAAGTCTTAATTGGTAACTAAATCAGCTACAGCATGAAAAGTCCAACAACCATAAAGAACAACTCTGAAAAATATACAAGCTCATTGTTACTTGTATATACATTTAAAAAAAAATAAAATAAATCTGGATTTAAAAATGTCTCCCCAGGGTTATAATCCCCCTCCTAGAGAGATGTTGTTATAGCTTGTATACAGTGTTCCAAAAGAATCTTTCATAGCTTTCAGAATTCTTCATGGTTTTCCTAATCCATTTTGCCATTTTGTCCATTTTCTCGACATTTCTCTCCAGAACTGTGTAATACTTGAAAGCCTACTTGAAAATCCATCTTTAAGATGGCCTTCAAATAAAATATTCAAGCTTCTAAACCAGAATTTTTTAAATACAAGTGGTTTTTGTTTTAATCACAAAATAAATCCAGTGAATTTGCTAACTTAGTAAAAAAGACTAGAAATAAAAATCACAAAAAAAGTTTCTAGCCTCCAGCAATTCACAAAATGCTATTACAGTACAGAACAACATCATTACTTAAATCAGTTTTATGTCTTCTGATAGCTACTTTGAAAATAAAGGGTAATTTGACACTAATTCTATTACAGAAGTTTGTAAGCAGGTAGCTTTTTGTGTGTGCAGTGGAAAACAAAGAGTGCTACAGAACTGGATTAGTCTGCCAAATACCCTCTTCAGACATCACATCTTAAAATGTGTGTCTAGATGAACACGAAACTCTGAACTCCCTGCACCCAATTCCACTGCCTGCATTTGGATAATGCAGGGGTGCAAGGGTCCACCTATGCAGCTCTAATGGGACGAGAATCTAATAATAGCTTATCGAATAGCAAAGAGGTTCAAACCTGCTTTGATCTCAGTAAGCAGAAGGATGAACAGGTGCTATTGTTAGTGTAATGTCCCAGGATTAGTAGCAATTTTGTCTGTAGTGAGCTCAGAATTAAAAAAAAAAAAAAAAAAAAAAAAAAAAAAAAATGTGTTTCATGAGCCAACAAAAAAAAAAAAAAAAAAAAAAAAAAAAAGAAAAGAAAAGAAGTTGGTTGGGAAGTAACACAGCAACAGGCTTGCTGAACTCGTAGCTCCGTTGCTTTGCACCTTCGGAAACTTGACCTTACAAATGATTATTCTCAGCACAGGGCAGCAGAGAGAATCAAGCCTGCAATTTTCATGGTTTGAATGAGCACAAGAACTTGGCTTCCAAGAGTCTGTCTTCTTAAGTTGCATGTGTCACAACAGGAATGTCAATTTCCATGGCAGAGAGGCGAGAGCGCGCAGAATATGGCTGGGAGGCATAGCTGTGCATGCTAGGGGCATGGGAATAGAGAGGCTGCCAGAAAGGAGAAGGTAGACTTTTACATGCACAGTACCACAGAAACAGCATAATGGAAGTGAAAAACAGACCACCAGCACTGGCAATGGCAATAAACACAGAGATGTCAAAGCTAAAGATAGGCTCATATTTTCTATTCAAGTAGTTGTTATAAAAAATGACCCAGATTGATGGAGTGAGACAAATGGCACAGGCAAGCAGGAACAAGAGGCCAGCCACGAGGTGGCAGCCTGCACTGTTCACAAGGCATTTGGCCAATTTGGCGTTTGGCACGCTCGACACAAAGGCTGTGTTACACATGCCAATCAAGCAGAGAAACAGAGCTGAGACAGCAGTTAACATACTCAGTGGAAGGGCAAACTGAAGAACACGCAAATCCAGTTGATCAACAGCAGTGTACCACTCTGGGTCATATATCACACAGTCTCTGCTCCCATCAAAGCGAGCACACTTAATCCAAAGTCCAGTGTAAACCGTCACATTCCTCTCATTCTTGTTGAAAGTGTACAGTCTCATTTGCCTCCAGTTTGGAAGAAGAACTGCTGCAAGGAGTCCAGCTACTGAGGCGGTCCCACTGAGGAAGGCCAGGACGGTCGCTGCATGAACATCCCGGCAGCCCATGCTTGCCCACAGAAGTAGTTTCCTGCAGTGAAGAAGAAGGAGAAAAAAGTCAGTAGGTGAAAGTTTACAGACATGGGACTACCATTGACTCATCCCAGGTTAATAAACTTGTATGGCAGCTAGAAGGCAGTATCTCTTTGGCATGTTCTTTGCCTTACACCCTTATGCAGAGGTAGCACTACCAAGTTCATGCTTTAATGAAACATCAGATTCTTTCACAGACTGTTAGGATTGCTCAGTTGACAGACTACTAAATTCACTGTGTTCAAGATCCAAAAGGAGTACTTGAACATGTAATTCTACATAGCCTTTCATCTTGTGTCACTGTGTGGACTTTGTTACAGAGTCCAGGTGGGGAAAATGAATCATTGAGTGTGATTTAAGCAGCTCACCTCTCTTCAACTGGCAGCTCCCTCTTTAGCCCAGATGTAATGTCAGAGTGCACGTTCAGTCCTACATTAAAAAAGCACTGCTTAAACGCAACACTGTTAGACTGGACAAGGAATGGATGTGTACACAGATATACACATTATATATAAACCAAATTGTTGATGAGAGTTGCACAGTAGCAGAGAAGACTGCTCATTAAAGTACTATGACTTTTTCAAAAACGATTAAGAGTTCTTCCGCACTACTTCTGCCTCTCAAAACCAGCTGTCCAAGCACATGAGAAATTCCAGAAAGCAGACAGCTTTTCAAGGGTCACATTTTCCTCTTCAAAACAAGTGTTAAAGATACTGCTTCCTTTTCAATATAACCCTTGTCTGCAAACCCAGTATAGTCTCTTACCTGGAGGGATCCCAGGAAACAGTCTCAATGAGGAGTCTTTTAAAAAGACTTAATTTGAGTAATCCCCTCCTCTGGGTGTTTGAGATACTTTAAAGATGCCTAATACTTAACAGGCACTGAGCACCAACCCCAGAGTGTACTTGAAGCAAGACATTAAAAATTATAATAGCTAAAAATGAGGAAGTACTTTGAAAATTCTCACAGAGAGCCATTCAGTCATAAAGTCCTACTGGAATTTCTTCCAAATCATTATGCTGCACTGTGCTTATTTGTTTGAAGTCACAAACAATTCTTTAGGTACCAGAAGTTTGACCTAATGTATACACGAATATCTGTATCTCAGAAAGGTTACAGACATGGTTGCAACCATATAGAACTGGGATCTGATCCCTTACTATCCTCCTACACCTGCAAACATCAAATGCCCAGGGAACTTTTCAGATGAGTAATTTCCACATGTACTGGAAGCAGGTGAAATAAGTACAGGAGTGACCATTTTCAGAAACCCGTGGTTTGTGCAAATTCATTTGCAAAGGTAGATTATGAAATCTGGGCAGAGTTAACGCAGGATCGGCAAGAAGAGATGTGAGGTTCATCCATATTCTCTAACACAAGAGGGTGGAAGAGAAAAAAATGGGGTATTTTCTTTGCTTCCATGTCACCAAGGTATAGTTATGGCAAGGACTACACTGCTAGGACTTAGGACAGCACAGGGAAATCTGTATTTTTCTATTATCTCTGCTGTACCAGTTACACAGACAGAAGACTTTAGTCTCTAGTTCATCCTATGGTTGTCAGGTGTGTTTAGACCACCCTGCATACTTTACTCTTGCTGACTGTTCCTGGTAGATGCACCAAGGGTGGGGATTTTGGCTGGGTTTTGCTGGGGTTTTTTGGGGTTCTTTTGGGTTAGGAAAGGCACAGAAAACAGCTCATTTTCCCATTAGAAGTATCAAGGGAAAGTGAATTTGTAGGTAAGTTATCCATGATCACTCCATCTGGGTGAAAATTGTCCCATGTTGCGAATGCTGCTAGCTTTATAGCTGTAATTACAGCTTCAGTTACAAATCCCCCATTAAGTCAGTAACAGAATAGATGTTGTCTTAATTAAGATCGATCCAGTGGTACTTACCAGCAGTGTTTTCAAATCAAGAGAAACCTTAGCAGCTTCTAGAAGCAGGAAGAAAGCTGTTACTGGATCTAGGAAACAGAACAAGGAGAGCGTCAGCATCATTTGTTTCATGTGCTTGTTTCAAACAACAGTTGTTTACATTGTAATTCAGAAATACTGAATCTCAGATATGCTCACATTAGGCTGACTTCAGCACGTTTCTACAATTTCCTCTTATTTAAAAAAAAAAGCTCAAACTACTTTTTTTCTTTTCTTTCCCCAGAGCATGTTCTCTTTCTATCTACTTATCTCTGTCTTCATAGAACAGATAAGAAGGGTGCAGACAGCTCCCTTTCTCATGGGTGTTCGAAGACATGGAGGTTTTCATATCCTTGGTTTTATGTTTCTAACAAAATAAACCCCCAAATATACCAAGTCACATAACATTATTATTTCAGATGTCAGGTTCCAGGCTGCACTTAAACGTTTAGCAGGGAGGAAGGGATGCAATTATTTTATTTTAATGTCAGAGAACAAAACACAGACTCTGAACTGCTGATATACTTGTGGTTCTCTATTCCTTCCTGGCTTCTACACAAAGGAAGTACTGATGATGCCTTTTCAATGGCTGTCTAGCTTTTCCAGACGAAGACAAAGAATTCTTTTTTGTGGAGTCTCTACACTCATATCCGAGATCCACACCACTGAGTCCCAAGAGCAACTCTGCAGGTCATAATAGGAAAATGGCTTTTCTACTGCACAGTGTCAGACCTATGAGGATGCCATTATGCGACTGTTAAGAGCTACAACCTAAAGGTGAATTTACAGTACTAATATGTACAAGGACACTGAATTTATCTTAAATGCCCTATATCTAGCCCTGAAATAACCTAACATTCATATATGCATAGTCTCCTGGATTGTATCGTAAAAGAATTTCTTCTATCAAACCATCTAGGCAAGAGGGAGACCTCACAGCACCACTCATGCAACTCAAATCCTTCACTAAACAAGAAAGTGAATTCCCAGGTCTGGCGTCCTCCAATATGAATGCTATTGCATGCAAGACACAGAAATGCAGACACAATCAAATCAAGCATTACACAGGATTTCCACTCCCAGCTTAATCAGCCAAGACTGCTATGAGTAAACACAGCAATCTGGGGACACTAACTATGCAGGGCTGTAGAGGTCAGCAGCAGCACACTCAACTGCATTTGGAGAAGCAGCAGACCCGAGTTGTTTTTTCTTTTGGTTTTTTGGTTGGTTTTTTTTTTTGAGTTTGGGTCTCAAAAAAGTATTACTGCACAGCTTGGAGCAGCAATCTTTATTCACTAGTATTCCTCAGCAATTTCAAGCTTTCTGTGCATTTAGTAGCCACTGAAGCCAAGATAAACATGCAGATCTCCCTCTGCAGGGTCACACCCCAAAATACCAGCCAATGCTCAGTCACAACCATAATTAAGTAGAAAATTAGTACTGGTAAACAAACCTGTCAGAAAGGGAGCCTTGCCCAGCCTCCCTGCCATTAAATGATGAAAACTATGGCCACCAGCTGTTGTAATAAACAGATACAGAGCAGGCATGGAATATTCTACAACATCCAACTCTGAAAGTTCTCCATTTCTACAGACATGGGAGTTTCACTTCTCTTCCTCTGTTTAGTCCATCTGACTTTATTCTCTATCACTGGTGGTGTTGCAGAGGTAGGGACCTCGGCCACTTCTGAACCAGCTGTCCAAGGCAAAAAAGCACACTCTGGCCAGGACAGATGAAACCCTGTCTTGCCTTAGATTCTGGACTCAAGCTTTTTACATCCCAATGATTTTACAGCTTTAATATTCAAGGCTTTTATATCTGATCCACCACAGTTACCAATCCTAATACCACTTCAGGGACATATTTTTGCCACAGCTCCTATTTTAAAGCTCTACAAGGCTGTAACAAGAGGTGCTTGCTGAAGCTGGTTAAAACCTGGTAGATCATTAATAGCCCACAACCTAAAAAAATGAAGCAAAGAAGGGGGGGAAAAAAAAGGCATTTACTAGAGACATAATTCAGTGATGCGTAAACCCAGCTCTGTTCCCTTGCATAGCCCTGAGAAGACCATCACTGTTCTGTAAAGCTCTGCAGGAGAGAGGTCACAGCAAGAACAATGTATAAACAAATGCATTCTCTAACTATCCACAACAGCGTTACCAGTTTAAAAACATCATCATGAGTTTTGTACAACTGACTACCTGCAACTGGAGACCAACAGCTATCCTGTTTTGAGATAACTGGAAATAGCTGACACAGAATCAGTGCCACCAGTCGTTTCTTCTTATTATTCTGGAAGCCCATCACACAGTTTCAAGTCCTACAAAACTCCTATTAAAATGAAATCCAGACGCACAGGATTATAATTAGCATTCCTAGTTAATACATTAGCGCTTTCAAGCACGGGTTTCAGCTGATCTGGGAAAAACAGATGACGACAGCCGAGGCCGAAACGGAAAACACACACCTCCCCCCGAGGGGCTC